GTCAGGAAGGCTAGAGCGGGGTTCTGAGACCTCTCGAAGCTCCCTCAGGATGCTAGATGGAACCATGGGATGTCCAGGTTCAGGGGAAGAGAAGCAGGCTTGCAACGAAGGAGGACGTCGGCGCAAGGACATAGTGCTCCGACGTTCACGGTGACGTTGCACCAGCTCTGCGACACCATCTTCAAGGTGACCAAAAATCATTTCTGAAACAGTATTCAAAGATTCATGAAATGTTGACCAGATAACAGATAGTGTAAGTTGAGTTCTTGTCTTTGTTGCAGTAGAATAACTAATGAAACAATGAATGTGTTGCATATATACTGTACAGAGACCTACACTGAAAGACCCTGTAAATCTAATTTTTCTTCATATAACCAAATAATTTAAACCATAATGAGATGTACATCAAACAGGCTGTTAAGTATATGTTAACTGAATTCTGTACAGCAAAGGAAAGATATGCAGATCAAATTTACTTTTAGTATTAATCTTTATTTTTCTGTAACAGGTAGATTACAAGAGAGGCATATAAAAATATGTCTCCTAATCTAATCAACATGGCACATCCCAATAAAGAATAATCTCTATGTTGTGTTCCATAAAAGAGCTCCTATGAAAGTATATTTTTCATAATATACTGGCTTCTTAAGAATTAAAAATGTTTTTGTTATCTTCCAAATTCCAATTTATAAACGAATATACTGGATAAACCTTTCTTTCTATACTGGTACCAATAAACCATCAAACAGTGTGCAAAATAAGCCAAGGTAAATGTATGAGTACACACACATCCCCTATCATCATCACACACACATGCACATATGCATGCACATGCACACACACATGCACACTCGCACGCACACATCCATACATACACAGGGAAAAAGATCTTGGGATAATCATAAATAGAAACCTAAATCCAAATGACCATATAAATGAAAAGGTCCACAAAATGTTAGGACTGATTGCCAACATGAAGAGGGCATTCGCGTATGTGGACGAAGATATGGTAAAGAAGATTATTAAAGCAATCATAAGACCAAGTCTTGAGTACGGTGCAGTGGTATGGAGTCCACACTTAAAAAAAGATATTGACAAACTGGAAGGAGTCCAAAGAGTGGCGACAAGATGGGCACCTACCCTAAGAGATCTGAGTTACGAAGACAGACTACAGAAATTAGGACTTACTACCTTGGAAGAAAGAAGGAAAAGGGGGGACATGATTATGCTTTTCAACTGCATTACAGGAAGATTGAAGATAGATAAGGATGACTTTTTGAGAGGACACAACAAAAAGTTGACAGTGAAAAGAGGTGATAAAGATGTCAAAAAATATAGTTTCCCAAACAGAATTATTGAATCGTGGAACAGTCTCCCCAATCAAGTAGTGTGTGCCAAAACTGTGCATAAAAAGTTATACGATAATTTAAATATAGCAGACGGGACCACCTGAGCATAGCTCTTTTCCCGTATTCAAACAACTAGGTAAGAACAACTAGGTAAGAACACACACACACACACACACACACACACACACACACACACACACACACACACACGCACGCACGCACGCACACACACACACACACACACACACACACACACACACACACACACACACACACACCACACACACACACACGCACACGCACGCACGCACGCACGGCACGCACGCATAATGCACTTTCATAATATGAATGCAGAGAAAAAAATCATGCAGCTTAAGAGTAATATGTCTACATTGTAGACGAGATAGGAAATATGGCACAATTATACACTAAAACATTAAATATCTACTCTAATTGGTTATATATATATATATATATATATATATATATATATATATATATATATATATATATATATATATAAAGATATAATACTACAAAAAAGGGCTTGAAAACATCATAAACCCTAATTTAATTTTCTGGGAATCACAAACATTCATGTTCCTGCTACCACTAGCTTGAAATGAAGATTAGTGGTGTATAACGTTAATTCCACAAGTTAAACTGGTCATATGTAGTCTGTTGACACTCGAAAAATCTTGTAAAGGCTATTAAAGCAGCTATTAAAATGTTATCTTTACTACAACTAAGTTTGTTCCAATGAGGTATTCCATTTACTATCCTACAATTTAAGATGATAATAAATGGAACACATTTTACACTGCTATAATTTGGTGCATGGCTAAATAAAAAAAATTATCAAAATAAATTCAATTTAGTCAGCTAGTTGTGGAGATATAGATTCAGTGACAAATTATAAAGTTTGAATTATTGTAAGATAAGTATGAAAAAGGTTAATTACAAAGTTATCATACAGTTTCACTCTTGAAATTGAAAACACTTGGATTGAATTCTTTAAAAATCATCCCAAAGTCTACAACACTGGGAAGATTAAGGGGTTTAAAGCAAACATGATTATTTGCCACATCACATTGTACAGGATCACTCTATTGCCTATTATATGCAGTGGATTATTAGTAGATTTAGATAGAAAATGATTGGTAGAACATTCAATTTCCTTAGAAGAAAAGGGTAACGAAGAAAAATATATTATTTTATGAGCTGAGATATAGTATTTTTATTTTATAAGCAATATGCTAAAATGAGTAAAATTGATGAAACTAAAGCTTTTATTTTAGAAGAAAGGTGTTTATTATAGCATGTGCATAGGTGAATAAGTGAAGACAATATGATTAAACTAAAAAAAGATCTTGATGAGAATGTAAGGAAAACATCACAAATTGATGTAATCCCTTTCGCTGCCGAGCCTTCCTTAGACTGACATTTTTTTTATCTGTCTTACAAAGTTAAAATCTAAGTACCAGCTATCACAAGAATATGATTAGGTGGTATTTTTTATGACAAGCATTACCGAATTTTCATTCCTCATTCCAAAAACATTGAATGAGGGCTTATAGCATTCATATTAGGCTTGGTATCCTATGGAAGAAATTAACCCCCTACCCATTAAAAAAAAGAAAGAGAAAGAAGAAAAAGAGAGAAAACAATCAATGGGAGAATTAATAATCATTAGTAGACATAAATATCCATTTTGAGGCCTAAATGATAAAGACTTTAAAATCCAATCCTGGGCTTATGGGTTGAGTTTGAAGACCAAGAACAACTAATACAAATCCAAATCACATCAAAATACTGTTTTAAGGGTGTATCATAAAACAAGGTACACATCAACCACTTTTATATAATGCGTATTCAAAGACTCAGTGGATTAAAGTATCTAAATGCTGACCTACTGATTTGGAGTTCAAAGTTCTTTTGTACCGTTTGATTGGGACACGACTACTCCTGGTACACAATCCTTCAAGGCAATGACACATTCACCAAGGGCGTACCTTATTATTATCATTATGATCATATATCAATTAGTAATGCGGATTATGAACTTTGATTGATAAAGCCTGTACACAGTTCAGAAAATCCTTCCATTAGCTTGCAACTGATCACTCACAATAATGACCATGATCTAACATTCATGAAGGGAAAAATATTAGAACTGCCTTTTTTTTCTTCTAATATCTCTCTTCATCTTTTTCTTATCCATCACCTTTTTCTGTTTCTTCTTGTTTCTCTCCATTTCTAATTCCATTTTCATCACCATCATTTTTTTTTTTTGTCCCTTCCTCTTCTTCTGCTCTTTCTTCCTCTTTTTTATTCTTCTTACTCTACATTTTTTTTGTTTCTTTTCTTCTCCTTCTCTCTCCTTCCTTTTTCCCCTTCATCCTTTTGCTTTCTCTCTCCTTTTCTCTTCTTCTCCTCCTTTCTCTTTCCTCCCTCCTTTTTCCTCTTCCCTTTTCCTTTCTCCCTCTTGCTCTCAAGTCTCTCCTCTCTCCTCCCTCTTCCCTCTTGTCTCTTCCCTCTTTCCTCTTCCCTTTTCCTTCCTCCCTCCTCCCTTTTCCACCTTCCCCTCCCCCTCCTCTGTCCCTCGTCCCCGTCCCTCGTCCTCGTCCCTCCTCTCTCCCCCGTTCTCCTTTTTCCTTCTTCATTCTTTCTCTTCATAAAATATCTATATACCATAATTTGATTCTTTGATAGCTATTTCCCTTGCATGAAACCTCATCTTGTATGCTCTTTTTTTTTTTTTATACACACCTTCTCCCGATATGTGTAAAATCATGCAAACAGATAATAGAAATATGAATGACTAAATAAATAATTTCTTTGTCTCAACAAATTTTCAAATAGGTCATGCAATAAGCATTTATTCTTAATTAACAGAATATCATTGACTGCAGTGATGCAAAATAAATTCATTAATTCATCTGTTACAATCATAATTGCCAAATATATAAAAGTGTAAAGAAAAACTCTTCTTCATCTATAATCATCAGACTAACATACCTTGCTTTCAAAGTCCTGGTTGGCATATTGAAGATGAAAAGAAATTTATAGAAAAAGGCTGTGACTTACCAGCAAAATCCCAAATGTTGTAAATCATGATATACTAAATAAAAAGTATCATAAATTTATCATTATGATATGTATTCTGTTAATTTTCCTTCAGACATTTCATGTCATTTGCATGTTAACCATTATACTGCATAATGTTTCCTCAATCATTCTCTTCTCTTTAGTCAAAATCTCTGCCTCCCATACTACCATAAAACTGGGTTTTCTTATAGAGTTATGAATATGATAATAGCCATTACCTTTAGCATCTCCAGTGACTGCTAACTGTATAATCATCTAAATTTCCAATAACATATAACCTTATCTGAAGAAAGACATTAATCATTAACAGAACAGCACATTTTAAACCTTATCACTAAACCAAAGAACAACAGCCAAACAAACTCCCACAATATGCAACATACCTGTTTTAGGTCGTAAAGACTCGGCAATGTTGGATACAGGAAGACGGGAACAGGATGCGAGACGCGTCATGCGGCGGGCGTTCAGGTGTCGGCGATGCAGGTGCTCCGCTAGCTCCTGGTCCTCCTCCCCCACGAGGTTTGGGTTGTACTTGTAATGGAGCTGTTAGGAGAGAGGGGACTGTTAGTCTATTGTGAAGGAGTCAACTGGAAGATGGATAGAGAAGAGGTTAAATTAAAAGGAGAATTGATATGTGTGTGAGAAGCAATGTGTGTAGTGGGCATATTGGAAAGAGCAAAGGTAAGGAACCAAAAGTAGGAAAAGGAAAGAGCAAGAGATACAGAAATAAAACAGATGTAGCAAAGAGATCCACAAGAAGGTAATTTGATTCAGGTAGGTGACTTGGACAGGTAGGTAAAGCATTCGCACACAGATGCATACAATTACATTTACAGAACACAAAAACAAAAGAGTCAGTCAGGAAACATCTTTCAACAAAAAATCATATATCAAAAACAGAAATGAATTGAACTATAATGAAAAAACCTACTGGCTGTGGTAGTATCCACAGACAAAATACCGATATCATGAGGAACAGCCATTTTTTCACTTATTGTTAACTTGAATGATAAATTGTTATCATTACTATCATTCCCACTATCATTATGATGATGATGATGATCATTAACATTATTATCACTATCATCATTATTATTTTGATTAATATCATTTTATCATTACTATTATTGTCTTACTATTATCATTATCATTGTTGTACTACAATATATACATGTGCTATGGGGAGTAACAAGAGAGCCACTTATAGGAGAGTGCAACCGTAACTGGAAAGTTCCAATAGAGTCCTGTAGGGCAGAAATAGGCTTATCAGACTCGGTCATTTGGGTGCGAATCCTATACCATCCCCAGGACCAAGATGCGTATTATTTGTCATTATAAAGGGCCTATCACACTAGCACTTTTTCCGTCAATTTTTGGATTTCCATATGAACTTTCCATATGTAAATGGATTGACCCTACCACACTACCAAGGCAACAGATGTAGAGCCCACATAAAATAAACATGATGCCAGCTAAGTGAGGTTACAGGAATCACACAAGATGGTGCTTGGAGCGGTGGCGTGCCCCAGCCTTAGAAAGGAATAGAGGCGAGAAGTCTTGATGGTAAAAAGGTGAGGCTCTTCTCTGTCTGACTGTCTGACTGGGTCACACCAGTGTGCCTTCTCATAGAACTGGTAGCAGATGTCCTGGTAACCCACACGCACAGAATCATATATCATGATGACCCACACAGACAGAAGATATCCTTGCTAATTTTAGAAGCATACAGACGAGGCGATAAGAACTGTAGACACAGGTCACTCGCTACCTTCCACATTTCAGTGAAAGCCTTTTTATGAATTACTTTTGTTTACTGTCTGCAATGATCAGTAAGTTTATGGAGAATGTCTTTTATACAAAAATTATACAAGGCTGAAAATATACATTAGTTTAACATTTTTTATCTAATTCATCAATAAATAAACTTCTAGCTGTAAAGATCCTCAAAAGAACAAGATCAAGAGAGAAATTATATAGACAGAAACAGTCACAACCATCTTACTCTGGAAGGTGTTGTGTTTTCATACGATACTTGCGGAAAGTTTCAAAAGCGGATGGATACCCAAAAATTGATGGAAAAAGTGCTAGTGTGACAGGGATTTTAACCGCTGACCACAGTTGACCTGTGATACCCAAGAGAACATTACAAGCACCCAAGAGGGGAATCACGAATCAGTCGAGTAGAGTCGAGCTGAGTATAGCTGATAGTCGAGTAATGTCTAGAGTGCAGTACTGAATATCATCAAATATTTTATGCTTTTTTTTTATCATACAGTGATTGAGGAGAAAAAATCCTCCTACTGCAATGTAAGTTGAGTTAAGTAATAAATAGTGTAATTAGCATGAGTGTTTGCAACACCTTTCTTATACACTACAGGGATTTCCACACACTGAAAGAGGTTACACTTACGATATACATAAAGAGACAGTAATTAGGGAATTGCTTAACAAAACCACACTGCCTATATACTTATAGGAGGGCATTTGATCACTTTACAATCTTAGACCCCTACTCTTAAAGAGATTGAGAGTTAAGAGAGAATGGAATATGAGTTATAATGACATATAAAAACTACATACATAACCAATTTCTGTCCACAGAGCCTAATAATATGAACTATAGCAGTTCATATATCACTTATATACTTTTAACCCAGTGAATAGTGGCATTACTGAGAAGTAAAAGAAATTAGGAAAAAAACAGTGCATCATGAAACATTATTATACTATTATCATCATCATTATTATCATCATCATATCATCATCTCATTATATTTATTAATCATCATCATCATTATTATCATCATCTATATCATTATTTATTATTATTATTATTATTATTATTATTATTATTATTATTATTATTCATTATTATTATTATATTATATTATTATATTATATTATTATTATTATTATTATTATTATTATTATTATTATTATTATTATTATTATTATTATTATCATCATCATTATCAGCGTTATTATCATTATCATCATCATATCATTATTATATTATAATCATCATATCATTATGATAATCATC